TTTTGCAGTTTTTGGCCAGGGCTGGGTTTGAACCTGCCACCTCCAGCATATGGGGCTGGCGCCCTACTCCTTTGAGCCATAGGCACTGCCCTGGACTATAAGATTCAATCATTTAATCACTGGCTTCCACACACAGTTCATCTTCAAAATTCTTTCTCTAACCTCATGTAAAGGAGCCCTTCACTCAAAATGACACCAAACATCATCTCCTGGAGAGAAGACAAGAAAAACCCACGTGCCTTCACCTCACAAAAGGGAAATATTTTAAGACTCTAGCAATTAGAGATAATATTGGGCAAATCCCAAGATCTAACTCAAATGCTAGGTGTTAATTCCCAATTGTTACACACATACAAGCCACAGACCAGGTTCATACACAGAAAGAGGAGTATATTCAAGTAGCCCAAAGGAAGAGATTCAACAATTTTCTTAGTGGAATCTCAACCAACTAGCTAAATTCAATGTAAAAGGATACACTATGAAAAAAAAAAAAAAAACTCTAAAGTAAAATTTCATTTTGAGCTATCCCCAAAACAAAGTACTCCTAAGTTTTAATTAGTGGCTCATAGTTCAAGACATATATGTAAATTCCAATACACTAAACAAATTTGAAATGTCTCTTGAGCCTCACTTTACCATTTGCCTTAACACTCAAAGAAAAGTATATACAAACATATATATGTACCTTTAAAATTTCTTATTTCTCCATCATGCTGAACTAGCACTTTCTCTCCCCAAATTCAACTATTCTGAATGGGTTTTCTTAGTTAAATTATCCTTACCTTCATGCTTTCCCCAATGTCAGATCCAGCTCAATTCTCTTCTCTTAAAAATGTATAAGGGTTCCAGACTCAAGAGGGTAAAGCAGAGGCTGACTGAACCTAAGTCTAAAACTCCCTACTCTTCCTCTTTTGAGACTAAACCAATGTGCTCACATCTTTCCCGCATGAGCAGATAAACCTTCAGACTATGTCACAATGCATTTAAATCTAGGGAACACGCCTTTTTGAATTCTCTTCTTTCCTGTCCAAACATTGTGCCACAGAGCAGTTCCAGGTGAAACTCACCTTACTTGCTATTCTACCTACCAAGTCATCAGCCTCAGTCATGTGCCACCTGCCTGAGAACCAAAGCCAGAGAAGCATATTACCTCTTTACAGAAGACAAAGGGAACAATATAATAGATCTTGTCCTAAGAAGATAAGCTATTTCCTGACATTCAGTGCCTCAAGGAAGAGATTGCTACAGGTGCCAGGGTTGCTATAGGTGAAGTCATACTATAGCTGAAGTCATAGGAATAGAAAGGATGATGATGAAAGAGAACCACTGTGGTCAACAATATGGTTCAAACAACTAGGACGTCATCCTCATCATTGCCTGCATTGTGCAGAATAGATACACCCTTGCCTACAACAGAGCACTAACAATTGATTGAGGAAACCCCCAAAATGGAAATACTAAACTAGTTCCCTAAGTAACAAACTAGTTATAATTATGTAAGAGTTGTTAAGATGTCTGGCATCTTAATTATGTCTGGAATCTTAATTATAATTATGTAAGAGTTGTTAAGATGTCTGGCCTAAGGTGGAAGGCACTCTGTCTGAAAAGGGCATGTGGTAGAGGGGGTCATTCTAAAGCAGCATAGTGGAGGGGGGCCCACAGTGACCCAGGGATAGTGGGAGGAAGCAGTGGAGAGTGGCTTAATTGGTAGCAAGAAAGCAGAAGTGAGAGCTCTGGTCTATAAGAGGGTTTCCCACTCACTCTCAACACAGCCAGCCCAGCTCCCCCAAAATAGGAGGATGAGTGTCCCTTCTTTTTGTAGCCAACCCTACCAAGATGCAGGAATACTATTGAATGGATATGTAGAGACTAAGAGAGTGATACAAAGACACTGAGATTTAAATATGGCTTCCCTATCTCCACACCCCAGAGGCCATCTGTCTTCCCTTCAGTGTAATAGTCCCTGATGTGGTCACTCATACTGGGCCTAATATGTGGGCAGAGATGGGTAGATTCACAGTTGCCCCAATGCTGGAATGATTATGGGTCTCTGTCGGAAGAAAGAACTGCTCTAAGTGCTGTGACTACTTTTCTTTTGATCTCCTCTGCCTCTTGTTCCCACCACCAACCCCTCCCTATCTTTAAATAACTGAAACCATCCGTGGCACATAGGCTATTCCCAACCAAATATCTAAAATGATAAACTGAACTCTAAATTTGAAAGTATAAGACAGGGTGAGGCAAATTACAGACTTATGTCTTAAAACATAAAACCAACAAATAAAAAGAACAAATGTTGTTCTTGCCCATGGCCAACTCTTCAAAGTAAATAGAAGTCTGGACTGTTTCAGTTTGGAGTGATCCTGAGATGGGAGAGAAGGCATTCATAAGCACACTGAACAGCAGCTAATAACTTTTCATACATCTGTTTATT